TGTTGTGCCTCAGAGGCATGGCACAGAACTCAAAGCCCAGGGAGAGTGGAGGGTTAAGGTGGATGGAGAGGTTCCTGGCATAGTTTAATCAGCTCTGGGGGCCTGCCTGAGTTATGGTAGCCTCTCTGGGCTGCCCCGTGGGCTACAGCATGGCCCAAAATTTCCATGGCACTGTGTACTGTGGGACTTCCTCTGAAATATCCATCCTGGACTGAGTAAATCCCCTGTGCCAGGGCTTGCAAGGGGGATCCTTGAAGAACAGACTTTCAGCTGTCTTCCTTCTCCAGCCAGATATAAGACTATTAAGCTCCCTTTACTCTGCTCCGGCTCTTTTACCCAGAATAAAGGGGAGGGAGTAGAGGTGAGGATTTCACTCTTGGTACCCAAGGACCAGGGAACTGTTGCATCAGTGCTGGCATTAGGAACTAGCAAACTAGAATTGCACAGTGCACACTTAAATGAATTGAAGGGGTCCACAGATACTATTATTGTGTATATTCCTAAGTGCTTCCTGAAATATTCCCAGGATCGAGTTAGGAAGGTTGCACACCTGAATGGGGATGAAAGTGGAAGCAGCCAGCTGACTAGATTCTCTAAGGGTAAGTCTACACTACGAAATTAGATCGATTTTATAGAAGTCGATCTTTAGAAAGCGATTTTATATAGTCGATCGTGTATGTCCCCACTAAGCGCAGTAGGTTGGCGGAGTGCGTCCTCAATACCATGGCTAACATAGACTCACAGAGTGGTGCAGTGTGGGTAGCTATCCCACAGTCCCCGCTGCCCGTTGGAATTCTGGGTTAAGTTCCTAATGCCTGATGGGGCAAAAACATTGTCGCGGGTGGTTTTGGGTACATGTTGTCAGTCTCCTCTCCCTCCCTCCTTGAAAGCAACGGCAATCAATCGCTTCGCGCCTTTTTTCCTGGGTTACCCGTGCAGACGCCATAGCACGGCAAGCACGAAGCCTGGTCGGCTCACCGCTGCTGTTGTGAGCATTGTAAACACCTCGCGCATTATCCTGCAGTATGTGCAGAACCTGGCTAGGAGACACCAGCACGAGGACGATTGTGAGGAGGACATGGACACAGATGTTCCTGGAAGCATGGGCTGTGGCAATTGGGACATCATGATGGCAGTGGGGCTGGTTGATAGTGGAATGCCGATTCTGGGCCCGGCAAACAAGCACAGACTGGTGGAACCGCATAGTGTTGCAGGTATGGGATGATTCCCAGTGGCTGCGAAACTTTTGCATGCATAAGGCCACTTCCATGGAACTGTGTGAGTTGCTTTCCCCCGCCCTGAAGCGCAGGAATACCAAGATGAGACCTGCCCTGACAGTTGAGAAGTGAGTGGCGATAGCCCTGTGGAAGCTTGCAATGCCTGACTGCTACCGGTCAGTTGGGAATCAGTTCGGAGTGGGCAAATCTACTGTGGGGTCTGCTGTGATCCATGTAGCCAAGGCAATAAGTAACCTTCTGCTAGCAAGCGTAGTGACTCTGGGAAATGTGCGGGTCATAGTGGATGGCTTTGCTGCAATGGGGTTCCCTAATTGTGGTGGGGCGATAGACAGAATGCATATTCCTATCTTGGCACCGGACCACCTTGCCAACCAATACGTAAACTGCAAGGGGTACTTCTCAATGGTGCTGCAAGCACTAGTGGATCACAAGGGACGTTTCACCGACATCAACATGGGATGGCCGGGAGAGGTTCATGAGGCTCGCATCTTTAGGAACTCTGGGCTGTTCGAACAGTTGCAAGAAGGGACTTACTTCCCAGACCAGAAAATTACCGTTGGGGATGTTGAAATGCCAATAGTTATCCTTGGGGACCCAGCCTATCCCTTGCTCCCATGACTCATGAAGCCATACACAGACAGCCTGGACAGTAGTAAGGAGCAGTTCAACTATAGGCTGAGCAAGTGCAGAATGGTGGTAGAATGTGCCTTTGGACATTTAAAAGCTCGCTGGTGCTGACTAGGTTAGCCTCAGTGCAACCAATATTCCCATTGTTATTGCTGCTTGCTGTGTGCTCCATAATATCTGTGAGAGTAAGGGGGGTACGTTTATGGCAGGGTGGGAGGTTGAGGCAAATCACCTGACAGCCAATTTTGAACAGCCAGACACCAGGGTGATTAGAAGAGCACAGGTAGGTGCGCTGCACATCAGAGAGGCTTTGAAATTCATGACTGGCCAGGATACCGTGTGACAGTTGTGTGTGTTTCTCCTTGATGCAAAACCACCCCTTTGTTGAATTTACTTCTCTGTAAGCCAATCCCCCTCGCCCCTTCGACCACAGCTGGCAAAGGAAATAAAGTCCCTATTGTTTTGAATCCATGCATTCTTTATTTATTAAAAAAAAAAAAAAAAAAAAAAGTGAGATCACTGACAAGGTAGCCTGGGTGAGGTGGGGGTGGGGTTGGGGGAGGAGGGAAGGACAAGGCCACATTGCGTATTGTACAAATCAAAGCTGTTTGAATGACAGCCTTCTGTTGCCTAGGCCATCCTCTGGAGTGGAGTGGCTGGGTGCCTGGAGCCCCCCCACCACGTTCTTGGGCGTCTGGGTGAGGAGGATATGAAACTTGGCAAGGAGGGCAGGCGGTTATACAATGAATGCAGCGGCAGTCTATGCTCTTGTTGCCTTTCCTGCAGCTCCACCAGATGCCTGATCATGTCCGTTTGCTCCCCCATTAGCCTCAGCATCTCCTCCTGCGTGTTCTGATCACGCTCACTGAATGCTTTCCAGGCCTCGGGCACTGAATGCCTCCATGCATTCAGCTGTGCCCTATCAGTGCAGGAGGACTGCATGAGCTCTGAAAACATGTCATCGTGAGAGCATTTTTTTCGCCTTCTAATCTGCGATAAGCTCAGGGACAGAGATGATAGGGGGAGCATAGAAACATTTCCACCTGCACGGGCGATAAAAAGGGAGAGTAAAATTTAAGAAGAACAAAAGGGAGACTCTTTCACAGTGAATCAAGCAATTCACAGAAGACAGCACATGTGCTTTATGTACAAGGTCGCATTTTGCCTTTTATATTGAGCGCCTGCTGGTATGGTGATACGTCACACACGGGTGGGCAACAGAATTCGGTTTCCAGGCAGCCATGGTAAGCCAAAAGGTACATGGGGTTGGCTTCTTCCACCTCCATAACATGTGGGAATGGTTTCAAACTGCAGCGCCCTCCTTTCCCATAGCAAGCAATGCGGTTGGATTTGCCATTTAAAAGGAGGGGGCTGCGGTTTTCGGTTGGATGTGCAGCACAGCCCTCTCCCCACCACGTGGCTATTCTCCAGGATGATCCCTTTTAGCCAAGCACAAACAGCCCAGCATGAACGGGGTCCTTTTACTGTTCCCTTACAAAAATTCCCCTGTTTCAACCAGGTGGCCATAGCACTCTCCTGAGGCTGACACAGAAAGATAAAGACCGAATGTTGCATGAATGCGACCAAAACCCAGGACCATTCGCTGCCATGCTTTGTGCTGCAATAATTCCGGACTACTTGCTACTGGCTTGGCGTGGTAAAGTGTCCTACCGTGGAGAACGAAATAAGGCAGCCCTCCAGAAACCTTCTGCAAAGGCTTTCAGAGTACCTCCAGGAGAGCTTCATGGAGATGTCCCTGGAGGATTCCTGCTCAATCCCCAGACACGTTAACAGACTTTTCCAGTAGCTGTACTGGCCACGAATGCATCCCAATTCTTCAGGGCAAATCAAACATTAAACACAATTGCTTTTGACGCCTGTAGTGTAGTTACAAATGTGGACTCGCCTTCTCTGCCTTCAGGGTCCGGGAACCCACCTTGGGAGGGTATTGGCTCCAGGGTGATGAGATGGTCCTGGCTGCCAGAGAGAACGGATTCTCTGCTTGCCTGCTGCAAATTCTCCTCCTCCTCTTCCTCATCCACAAAATCCTCCTCCATGTTGCGTGAGATTCTCCCCCTCCCCCCCCCGCAGGTGTCCACGGACAGTGGTGGGGTACTGGTAGGGTCCCCCCCTAGAATGACATGCAGAAGCGGCATGTTTGGGGCTCTGACCCAGAGCGACCATTTGCCTCCTTTGTCTTGTGGTAAGCTTGTCTGAGCTCCTTAACTTTCATGCGGCACTGCTGTGTGTCCCTGGTGAAGCCCCTCTCCACCATGCCCTGTGCGATTTTGGCATATATATAAGCATTTCTTCTCTTTGATTGGAGTTCTGCCTGCACAGATTCTTCTCCCCATACAGCAATCAGATACAGTGTCTCCCGTTCACTCCATGCTGGAGCTCGTTTGCAATTCTGGCACTGCATGGTCACCTGTGCTGTTGAGCTCGCCACGCTGACCAAACAGGAAATGAAATTCAAAAGTTCCCAGGGCTTTTCCTATCTACCTGGCTAGTGCATCGGAGTTGAAAGTGCTGTCCAGAGCGGTCACATTAGAGCACTCTGGGATAGCTCCCAGAGGCCAATACTGTCGAATTGCACAATGCTGCGTCTGCACTACCCCAAATTCGACCCAAGAAGGTCGATTTTAGCTCTACTCCCCTCGCCGGGGAGGAGTACTGCAGTCGATTTTAAGAGCCCTCTAGGTTGACGGAACGGGGTTGGTTGTGTAGCCGCATCGCTTATAAAATCGACCTAACGCGGCTAATTTCAACCTAACCTCGTAGTGTAGACCAGGGCTAACGTAATATCTGTGGAGATCATGAAGGTTATAGGCATCAGCTTTCTTCTAGGGATCAGGAATAGTATGTCTGTTGTGTGTCCTGATTAATTCAATTGGCAGTCAAATCTGGTAATAGCACGGCATCATTGTGGGACTTCTGACTGGTGTGTAGATTTGGCTAGCCAAGTTTTTAATCCGCTTCTACAGCTTGGCAGCTTTACTTATTGTAGGTCTATACGTGTGTGACTGTTTGCATGAGACATGGTGCTAATTTCTGAGCGTGCTCATGCTGACTGTAAGTTGCTGGCAGATAAGTACTAAGTGATCATTTAGGAAAATATTGTTCTTTGTATTGCAGGAAATATTCAAGAGGTCATATTACAGGAACACTTGGAGAAAGAAGATGAAATTCTGGTATCCCTGGCAGGCTTGAAGCAGGTACAGATATTGATCGAATTCAGCTTTACAAATATTAATATATTAAGCTTTACAAATCCTCTTTTTCTGGAGGTGAAATTGAACCAAAGAGAGGTCAAGTTTCCTACCCAGTCCCAATTTCAGGAAGTCTATGGTGGCCTTATTCTCAGTTCTGGGCTTTAACCATCACTCCTCCAATGCATAACATACACTGTATTCAGTATCCATGCCTCTGTCTTCTGTACCAAAAAAGCTGATATTTGTATGTAATGTGATCTGAAGGAAAAGTACTACATTCCTTTAACGAGAATATTATTAAACAAGGTGCATCTGTCTCGAAGAACTATTTCATTAGGGTTAGCTCTAGAATATCTTTCAACTGGAGTATCATAATGTATGTCAGCTATCTAAGTGTTGGGGAGAGCGCATAGGTGGTTTGTTCTTTTTAAATATCTTAGGTACTTTGTGTTTTCCAGTTTCTGGTAGAACCCCGTTTCACTGGTGCTTGATCCTTTAACCAGTGCAACTATTACCATTAATATTGTTTTCTTCAAAAAATATAGTAAATAATTTACAAAAAACATAGTGCATGAAAGGCAGACTGTCTGCTTTGGGTACATTAGCCCAAGCTTCAGATATTTTAGATTTTTCCTAATGTTCTGAATTATTTTTCCTCCTGTTCGGCAAACAGATCAAGGATATTCTAAAGGGTTCCCTGCGTTTCAATCAGAGCCAGCTGGAGGCTGAAGAGAATGAGCAAATCACAATAGAAGATGATCATTACTGTTCCAGCAGTCAGAACAAGGAGATGGGCGATGCCCTAAAAGGATCTGTTATGACAAAGCAACACTTCCTCTCAACGCTTCAGGTAAATACATCCATTTCAGCCAAGTTGCTGATATCCTGATGGAAAAAATGTGGCATTCAATAAACATCTTTAGAACATTTTTCAAAAGTTCCTAAAATTTCACGAATTGTCTTGTGACAATTAAAATATTTTTTTTTTGAGATTCAGACATTTACCTAAGAATGCAATGTAAAAAAATTTGTTCTAATTAAATAGCTTTGTTTATACGTTGATACAATAGCAAATAAGACCTAGAGCTCCCTTAGATGAATGAGTCTTCCCAGGGTTTGAATTATCCATTATCAGAAAGGAGGCAATGTTCACTGCTAGATAAGGCTCTGAGCCCAATCCTACTCCCATTGAAGTCAGTTTCAAAACTCCCATTGACTACATTGGTGCAGGATTGGGCTCTTTGTGAATAGGTATCTCAAGTACAGTTGTTTTTTGTTTTTTCTAAATAGTTATCTCAGCTGCTTCTCAGTAAATTATTTTAAAAGATTGAAAATATATTTTTAAAGAGAGTTATAAAGGTATTATTGGTGCTGGGCATTTAAAAATTGAAGGCAAATGTTTTCCTTTGGGTAGACTATTCTGTCCTCTAGAATTCCATTATGCAACAGCTGATTACTGCATTGCACCAATGTATCTATCCTCAAGTGCCAAAAAAGATACTGCTAGGAGATCACTTTAACATCCCATTCCCTTTCAGTTGTTTGAGGTTTCTGTATTGGCTTTCTACTTGAATCAATACAATGCTTTCATCCCACATGAAAAACATACGGTTACAAGGCAATAGATTTATTTCCATCCATGGTAGCACAAGGTTGCATAGCACACGTTTTTTGTCATTTAGTTGAGCTATGATCTTATATGAACAAATAACTATGTATGCAGATTAATGTATAATTCCCAGTAAGAGCATATCAGCAGAGTTCTGAAGTTAAATCTGCCATACACCAGCACCAGTATAAATACCAACAACACTGGGAAACCAATAACAGCATTATCATTGCCATGGTCCAGTCTAGTCTGTGCTCAGTTTTCTACTACAGCTTGTTGAATCAACTCAGCAGTGCTGAAGGAGTGAATGAAAGGAAATAGAAAGAAGAATTACTTACCTAAACCTAATGAAACAGGATGTTGTGGTTTATAATAAAAATTTCCTTGCTTTTAACCGCTGTTAAAAATCATATTTCAATATTAAAAATAAAATATATCTTATTTTACTTAATTATGTTAGATGCAAAGATAAAAGGCTTTTACGTTTGTTTACAAGTTCATTTAGAATGGATGTTGTCACGGATCCTAGTGAACGCCGCTTCGCGGCCACCTGCTAGGACTGCTGTGAGGGGAATCCAAGCCTCTCTGCTCTAGCTCCTCAAGGGCGTGTTAAGCTCATGGAATCTGAACAGAGTCCAGCCACTGCCCCAATCTCGGAGTCCCTAGACACACTCTCAGGGTGAGATCTTGTAACTGCACCCCTTTTCTGAGTGTTTGAACCCTCTGTCCAGCTGCCTAGCCCCCCTTCAAGACTCCCTAGTACTTAAACACACCCCGTCCCAGAACTCCATTCCCAAAAGGTTTGAAGCTTCTGGTTCACAATTTAAATCCCTCAGGTTCACCACAGTAGTTGTGAAGCGGCCCACACACACACACTTTGCTCAATCTATCAACCTGTACTTAAGGGTGCTCTTAACAGATAAAGCACAGGAGAGTACAGATCATATAAAACATCCTAAATGCAGCATCCCTCTCTGGCTCATCCTTCTCTTGGGATCCTTGGGGGACCATCTATATTCCAACAGGCAAGCATCTCCTTCTCCTTGCCTACTCTGCCACTGCAGCAGCCTCCCTTGTCTTAATCTGGTGCAAAATGACTCTCTCCCCTAGTTCCTCTCTGTGAGTCCTTTAATAGACTCCGGCTGGGATCACATACTTCTTTTGTTCAGCCTGTTGGTAACTTTCCACTGCTCCCCTCCCTTCAGACAAGAGGAGAAAGTGTCTTCTCGCAAGGAGAGCAAACCTATTGTCCCAAGGTGTTTTACTTTGAATAAACTATCGCTGAGTGCTGATTAATCACCATTGTCTCTGGCCTGGCAGAGGCATGGCACAACCCTGCTAACTCATTGGGGATCCCCATACATATAGGTATTCCATGACACAGTAATTTCATGATACAATTTCATATAATCATCCAAAGTTCAGAAGTGGTACAAAAAGAACTCCCAGTTCATCACAGAGGTCATTACTGCTTTTAACCATGGTTATTAAAACCAGGCTTTTCTGCCATATTGAAGGCAGTGATTAAACCATTGGTAGCCCACTGGAGTACATATGGGCTAACACGGGTTTAACCAATGCCTTCAATATGGCAAAAAAGTCTGGATTTAACAAAAGCGGTTAAAGCAGTAATGACATCTGTGATTTGTGTAAGCTGGTGAGAGAGAAAAGAAAGCTTTTCTCTCTCACCAACAGAAGTTGGTCCAATAAAAGATATTACCTCATCCCCCCTTGTCTCTCTAATATCCTGGGACCAACACAGACACAATGGGATTGCATATGGGAGTGCATGTCTAATGACAGCCCTTATTTTGATACTATAGCTTCTCACTCTTTACATAAGAAATATTTGTGCCTTAGTATTGAAATGGCAGATGCCTTATTATTAATAATCCTTAACATTGATTCACAGTATAAAATGAAAGATACAGTATAACACAACGCGCTGTGTTAGATTGTGCAAACATTACTCAGGCTGGTAACGATTTATTCTCACATTGGTATCAATGGGGCTACTCATGAGTAACTGCTGGCAAATGTGAGTAAGGGTTGTGCAATCTAACCCTGATAAATGGTTAATATCTGCAGATTATGGTACATTTACAGTTTAGGGTACAGTGCATTTATTCTTATTAGCCTTCTCTCATGTCATCTTCTGGGAGCTCCAATTATAGTAATGAGCATCAGTTTATTATAGTAACAAAAATAAGAAATTAGTTTTAGAACTGCTTATTGTTGGGAAGAAATATTAATACCCCAGCATTCTTTGCTGTTTCTGACTCCATTGTGTTTTGCTTTAGTAGGTACAATCAAGTAAAAAGAGAAGACATTTTGACCTTGTGTAATGAAAATTAAAAGATAAAAACTGCTAAGTTTAGTAGCCTGAGAAATGAGAGCATTAATTATTTTTTTTCCAAACAGGACCACAGTCCAGCTTTTTAGTCTTAATGAGGGTAATGTGCTACAATGATGTTTCCAGGTCAAGCTGGAAGCATTTTCTGAATACAGCAGAAAGTTTAAAAAGTTCTAAACATTAATTATTTAGAACACGTTGTGTTGCTTTAGTTTCATTCCTATTTAATGTACTTCCAGCAAAATAAATGTTACTATATTTGTGGGTTTTTTCCTAGTGCGATAGTGTGTGTAATTCTGTTTAGTCTGGCTTTTTATGGCTGCTGAGTCTGTTATGTAGAAATTACATTTATATTCCAGAACCTCTGGAAAATATTTTGGGCCCAAATCTCCTCTCATCTACACTAGACTCACACCAGTGTTACTCAGTTGACTTCATTGGCGTTACTGCAGATTTATATTAGTGTAAATGAGATTGAAATCTGGCCCATTGTCTTTCAGTGTTTTTTAGATACTGGTCATTTGTCACTTCATTAACCAAAAAAGAAACTTACATCCCACCCCGTACCTCAGTTTCCCCATCTGTAAAATGGGAATAGTGATACTGACCTCCTTTGTAAAGAAAACACTTGGCAATACAAAGATGAAAAACGCTATATAAAAGCTAAATATTATTATTTATACCACTCTACTATATATATTTGGGCATAGTGGCACATTGCTCCAGCACTTGACATTTTATAAAGAATTACACACATAAGGAGGACTTCTTTTTTTTTCTAATGCTCCATTTTTTAACTCTGTGCTGCAGTGGAATAAGAAAAAGCCTCAAATAAGATGTACAGCATTAATTTCAGTAGCAATACAGTTGATAAATAGAAATCTTGCATTGCTAAATATTGTATAATTAACACATTATCTTTCCTTTAACTAGCCCAAGAAGGAGACAAAATGAGTTGCTGCTGTTTTTCTAGGCTTACCTAAAATGTATTCTTATTGTTAGCTTTAGCTAGTTCACAGTATGCAGGCAATTGAAATAAGCCTGATACTAGTAGCTGATATTCATCAGGAAAAATGTTTGGAGAAGCCATATGTCACCAGGCGAAAGGTTGTTAACTTTCAAAAGCTACTGGAAGTATAATTCTGTCATTTTTCATTTATTCAGTAGTGGCAGCAGATGGAAGAAAACATGGTTCATGTCAGTGCGAGTTTCCTGAAAGAGAAACAGACAGAGCAAGGAGTGGGGAGACATATTTTTACCTCTGGAAATACCAGCATCAATAGTGTGTTCTAAAGACAGACCTATATTTATACCAAGCCTTTATATCATATTGAAGGGAATGGGTACATACTTCTACCAAACGCAGGTTTAGGGGCCCAAAATTTGAGTAGCCTAAAAATTGAAGAACATAACCATAAAGAAAAGAAGCTGAGAGATTATGCTTCTTTTTGTCCAACTAGGCAACAGCACATTTCAGAGTTTAGGAAACTGCAGTAGCAGGCCCCCAGTAGAACTAGCTAAGGCGGTGCCTGTTCACTGCCTTAAGGAAGTCAGCCTGTTCGCGTTACAGATATCTTCAAGATCGCTAGCACTGGTAACCTATTTGTAAGTGTGTTGCTAGGTAATGCCTTTGGTTCCCTAGGGTAGCAGCCATCTTGGACAAGAGAGCTGGGAAGACTGAAATAGTGGCTAATATGATGCCATCAGACTGGAATTATAAAATACACTCAGTGCTCAAAATTTAAATTTGTATCTGTGTGTCAGGGGCTTCCAAAAAGAACAGGGGAAAGTGGATTACGTCAGCTAGGGGTGTTTAAAATAGCTTTCATTACTGTTGTCAAAAGAAAAAGAAGGCCATGAAATTTGGAATGGAACCTACAGCCCCAGAAGACCTTAATCTGGCCCTCTGTAATGCTATGTGATGAATGTCCATAGAATCAAGCAGGAAACTGTTGATTAATTTCTGGAGCTGAGCCGTTCTTTTACACTGTCTGTGTTCTCAGAGCCCTAGACATGATAGCTGATTAACTGACAGATGATGAAGATGGTAATTCAAATAGATCAGATGAAACAAAAACAGTAATTAAAGAAAAATGATGTTTCATCATAAAAAAGGTGTTTATATAGTGTAGTGCCTCTGTCTGTAAATTAGATCTGTTTGTTTGTAACTTCTTGGAGTACTGAAAACATTTTTTTTAAATTCACAAAAGGAGTAGGAAATTTACAACCAGTCAGTTTTAACTACATTATGAACTTACTAAATAGTTTTTGGAACTCTTAAAAATAATTTTTTCAATTTGGGTTATATTAATTTTATAATGGTCATCTGAAGGAAAATTAATTATTGTTATTTTAAAAGGGATGTGTGCATGTAAAGATTAGCAACAGTATTCAGCTAAAGTCAATTTTTTAGATCCATTAATTTTATAATGAATTGTTATTATTGCTTGTGATTTATGTCATATTTTTGTTGCTACACTGAACGTAAGATGTTTCCATTTGTATTGGCGAGACAGTATTAAAATGGGTAATTTATTTATAGAAGAAAATATAAATAAAAATGAGAATGTTTAATATTAAAGTTATATAAGCAAGAATTTTTTAAAATATTCCATATTGATAGTGGCAATGTCTCTGGAACCCCTTTAATACAAACTTTTCTTTGTTCTTGAGGTACTGAGTCACAATTCTTTGTTCTGACCTTTTTCACTCAGCTGATATTTTGCCTTGTTAATTTTTAATAATTTGTAGCAACTACTTACATAATAGCTAGTAGCATAAGTTTCCTATATATCCTGTACTTCAGTCCTCCCAATCCATTGATGGACTGAGGACTTTCAAGAGATTACTCTTGTGCAATGAACAAGAGACAATGGGAAATGGCTATCAGCAGTAACTGCAGTAAAATAAATTTGGCAAGAGCCCATGGGATACCTAAAGGATCACCAGTACCTTAATGATGCACATAATTTTAGGTACTATATTACTAATTGTCTCTATCTCATTCACGCTGTTCCATATCCTTTATTTTATTCTTTTTCCCCCTCTACCAAAGCCTCCCATCTCTTACCCTAAAGTTACATTATGCTGGGAAATATAACTTTGCCTGAAAAATCATTGTTGATGGAGTTGCCCCTACTTAACACACCATTGTCTATTTGAGCCTTACATAACTGACACATATGTTCCTCCAGCTGCTCCTTCCGCTTCTTTTCCCTTTTGTCACTCTTGTGTTACTGTGAACCTAACAAGTTAGAATCAAGTTCATCTCACCTCAGGCTAACAAGGAGTCACCGCTTATCCCATGTCAGACTGTTTGCCAGATTGTATTCTTACTCAGTGGCAGCTGTATGAAATTGACTAGGCACCCAGTCATGATCCCTGGTAGGTGAACAAACTGCTTCCTGTACAGGAATATGATATTAATGTTTCTTATGGAAGAAAGGGGAAATAGTCTGCCATCCATTCAAGGTAACAGATTACAAATTTGCTAATAAAAGAATTTCTGCTCTGCTGGATATGCCATTAAGCCTCATGATTCAAATCATGGACCTCTTGGAGGACTGCAGTTATTCCAGGTGGTGTAAAAGTTTGGTGAACAAGCCTCCACATGGGCTAGGTGGAGATTCAGATCACTCTCCAAAATGTGATTTTACACTAACTTCTAAAAGCCAAAGGTTCTCTAATACTAGGTCATCAACCAACAGAAAAAATGTCAAATCTTCAGTACTATACTGTACCTATAAGATCCCAAGATCACCTAGTTATGTAGAACTATAGGGAACTGCAGTAATGTGAGAGAGAAGTACTTTAGCACTAGTACAAGCTCCAGTACCTGGTGATGTATTTTTATTCTCTCTCAACTTTATATTTCATGAAATGTAAACAAGTACTTTTAGCCATTGCTGTTTTGTTAGTTGAAAAACATAATTTTTCCCTCATCTGCCCTTCTGCAATGCTTGCAATGAGCCAGATTCCTCTTGCTGTTTCTCCCCAGGGTTGAGGTTTGAGAGATGAGCGTTGGGTCATTCTTCATAGGGGAGCTTTTGAGCCTGGAATTAATTCCTTCCATGCATCTAACCAGGGTCCTGTTTAGTGATCTTTAGGACACAGTGCAAGATACATTTTTATACTCTGAATTTAACTGTTTGCGCATGTAAAGTACCAAGGGTATTTGTCAGGTCAGTGGGTGGAGATCATACAAGTCAGAGTAGACTTGAGTTATGTCAGTTGTTGGCAACAGTTGTTTATTTTTCCTATGTCCAGTATCACAATGATGGGTATAATAGAGATTTTAAAATAAAGATGTGGTTTTTAGTTTTGCCACTTAGTCTAAATCATTTCCATGCTATTGTCTCACAGGCAACAGCTGAAACAAGCGGAAATTCAGAGAGCAGAAGCACTGATGACTATATCTTGGTTTCCAAAGAAGAGGAGGGAAATAAAGGTGCTGTCTCTGAGCACGAGCAGTCACTTCAGACACACAAGGAGGCGGCAACAAAGAATGAAGCTCCATCTCGTTCTTCTTTGGTCTTTTCTGATCCACTCATGGGCTCCATTTCTTCCTCCTCTAGTAACCTGAGTTCCAGCCCTGATGATGATGATAGCAATAATAGCAAGGATTCTGACTTCACTATTGTCAGCCCCTTGGACATCTAATTAAACAGCTTGGAGAGCTTGTGAGGTCAGTTACTAAACCTCAGCTGAAATAACTTTGATTCCGCAGGGCTGGATGACTGACTCAGAAGGACAGAAGGTATATAAAGGTAACCCATTTCAGCTGCTAAACGCCTAGCTAATCGATCAGAGCACAAATTTGGTACAGGCAGTATATTGCAACCCTCCAAAGAGTATAAAGGTTTTGTAGTGATTACCTTAACAGCTGCAGTAGTATCCAGATCTAATATACAACTACTGCTAGTTGTAGGGTTATCTTAGCGCCTTCTAGAACGATAGTACTATTTACTTAGTTTCTCACCACATAGAATAACCTGTAGCATATATTCTAATGGATACCCAGAGGAGAGGAGACAAAACTACAATTAATACATTTACTTTTTCCAACATGCCAGGTTAGGCTTATGCTGGGTGGGAAGGGAACTATTTCGCTAGAGATTATGGGTAGAAAATGAGGGGAGGCAAATCAAAGAGATGCAAAGCATCCTTCAGCAACTGGTTCAGCAACTGGCATCAAGATTACTGGAGTCACAGAAAAAACCTCTGACTAGTAGTAGTAGAGAGAAACTATAAACGATAAGACCAGCACTTCAGGTATGGGAGAACACCAAATTAATTCTAAAATAGCCTCTTTAAAGCACTGGGAAGCTTGAATCTATACTAGTTAAAAGACTTCTAATATTTCTGAGTGAGGTGGTCCGGGGTTTGTGTGTTGGAGTAGTGTTCCTTTGGAATCTGTTTCTGTAAATGTTTTAAGAACTGTACAGCCTCATTTATGTATAAGAATCAAGTCCATTCATGATGGATGGTGCTGTAGTTTTCCTTCATTGCAATTCTGTTACAGTTTAAGAAATAATTCACTTAGAAATGTGACTTGGAGTTATCCCCATTTATTTGATTAGAAGCATGACATTAACATGTCTAAATCAGTGGTTTGCTAGGGAAATTTTAACCATCTGATGGTGTTAGATCTGAGCAGACTGAATTAAAACAGCTTCCAGCTATCAGGTGAACATAACTTACCAGGGAAGGAGGAAAAGAGCTCTGAGGCACTCATAATTAAAAGCACTTTATATCGCAATGCTACTAACCATGTATTCTCTGTATACAATGACATGATCTTCCCCATTGCTGGTCAAGAAAAAGGCAGTGGTTCAATGAGGTCAAGAGTCTAATTAACTCTCTAAATTGTTTTTCTATTCGGAAAAGGAAATCTCTTTCCCATGAAATGTGGAATGCATCTGATAATACATGTGGGATTTTTTGCATTCCATGATCATTCTTAAACTCTTTGGAAGTAATAAAAAGAAATTATTAATAAATGGGAGCCTACTTTTTCAGCAGCTCTGAGGAGATACACTTATAGAAAGAATGCTACTAAATTGCCATATACACAACAACAACAAAATCCCTCCACGTTTATAGGATTTTATTTTACAGGACACATACAGTGTTACCATGCAATAACTTTGTAATTGCATGACAAATGTTATGTTGTTAATAAATGGTACATACAATGATCAATTCATCTGCAAATAACTGGAGTTAAATACAGTTTTTCAAAGTTAGGTGATGTGATATACTGTAGTTGGCTCTTACAAGGTCTAGTGTTGAAGACTGAAATGAAAAGGTAATTATCACATAATTACAGGGTAGCTGCCACACACGTACACATTCGACAGCCACCATATAATTCTTCCAAAATTATTTGTGCCTTGTAAAATGAAGAAATACTGGAATGTTATGAGCAGGTTTAGCATCATGTGCGTGACAGGTTGAGGTACCGCACAGTCATGATGGCTGTTTGTTTTGCTGAAAGATCTTAAACGCGTAACATTTTGGAGGGGTTTTTATGTTGGTTTAATTCTAATCCTCTCATTTCTACATCATCACAAAAAAACATTTCAGGATTTAACCTGCATGCTTGTGTACAAGTTTATTTTGTATCCCTGAGTTTGTGCGATTGTCAGGGGATTAAATAGCTGTTAATTTAGAGCCTTCAGGCTTTTCTAGCATTACCCCTTCCAGCTAGAGTTGTTGCTGATGAGGCACAAAGGTGAATCTGCTCAGGAAGCACATATGTAAAGCTGGGGAAAGTGTTATGCAGATCCAGAGAATCAAGAAGTACTGTGTACCATAAAAACAAAATCTTCAGTGACCACAGCAGTCTGGCAGGGGTAAAACACTTTATTTTTTAATCTTTTTTTTAAGCATTCTTTTGTTTTCTGTCCATTTACTCCAGGGATCACATTGTCATTCTCTTGAACAGTCTCAGTGCCATAAAAGAATGTGATTTGTACAGTTCTCTTATTCTTTAAATTTAATGGTTATGTCATTAACATCAAATTTTTAAGCAAAGCTGAAAGTATAAAACTTTTTTAAAACTCACAAGTTTGTAATAATCAGTGAATCTCCCTGTTGGCTGAATTTCTATTGTGCCATGGGATTTGAACAAATCCTCAGCAGTAGAGAGACATTAATACAAATTAGATTTGAGTGAATCCCATTAGATGAATCCACTTTGGTTATACCATGTCCCTCTACATTCCAAATACCATTTGTGGCTGCTGTTTGATCATACTGGAAATGTCATTAGACTTTTTTATATACATTAAGCCAAATAGCTATAGTTCGGACAAAATGACAGATAATCACCCTATCTTGCCTTATGTTACTATACCAAGGAAGAAATTGCCATTTTAAAACACAGGATTATTCTTTCTTCCAAAGATGACCTGCTCATAATGTTCATGGATAACATGTAATCTGATAGAAAATATATGCATTGTAAATTACAGATAAGTACTAATGTGGGACTTTAAAAAATATACCTGAGCCAATTTGAGGCTTATTGTACTGTATCTCAAGTCTGTACCATATGATTGTTTCAAGTCTTGTGCATGTAATGTCAGTCATACCTTACTGCGGAAAGGCAGTCACCATATTTTGACTAGGTATTCATTTAGTTGTGGAAATTTATATCTTCACTCTGGAAGAATGTCTAACCTGCTTTATTAAAGAAAGAACTAACAAATGCAAATTCTTTGGGCGTCTGCTTTTATTCTCATCAGCAGCAACAACAACAAAGGTGGGAGGAATCTGGTGAATAGGGATTAAAATATTACAACTATGCTTTCCCAAAATAGGGATGCACAGCTGCTTGAAAATAATATCTAGCTCTTATATAGCACTTTTCATCAGTTTATCTCAGAGCACTTCCATTGCTTACATAGAACTGAAATCATCACCATTCATTACTGTTATTTTATTGTAATTGTATACATGAGCTACAAAACACAAGTGATTACTATGTATTTCATTAAAACACCACATGTTAGAATTTGTTTGCTATTTCATTAAACTGATAGTGTGCTATATTTACTGTACTGAAAGTAAAGGGCCAGAATTTAAGATCGTGAAAAGCAGTCGTTCCATTAAATTCAGTGTTACTAGTTTAATAGATTCCAAGGCCAAAAGGGACAATTGTGACCATCTAATGTGACCTCCGGTATAACACAGGCCATAGAACTTCCCCTAGAGCAGTGTTTTTTAATCTGTGGGTCGCGATCCAGTACTGGGTCACATCATGTAAGGCACTGGGTCACCTTGCTCTGGTCAGCACCAGGAATGTTAAAAGTCCTGTCGGCGGTGCTGCCCAACTAAGGCAGGCTAGTGCCTACCTTTTCCAACACAGCGCTGTGCCCCGGAAGCAGCCAGCAGTGGTCCAGTTTCTAGGCGGGGGGGCCATGGCGCTCTCTGCATTGTTTCCGTCCCGAGCCCCGGCTCCGCACTCCCATTGCTGGCCAATGGGAACCGGGGCGGAGGCAGTGCTTGCGGGTGAGAGTTGTGCGGAGCTGCTTGCGCGCCTCCACCTAGGAGCCGGACCTGCTGCTGGCCACTTCCAGGGCACAGCGCAGTCCATCCCGGCTGGGCCACCAGAGGTAAGTCTGTGCCCACGCCCCAGCCCTGAGTCCTTCCTGCACCTCAAACCTCCCAGCCCTGACCCCCTCCCAACCCCCTGCCCCAGCCCTGAGCCTCCCAAACCCGGAGCCACTCCTGCATCCCAAACCCCTCTCCCACACCCCAACCCCTTGCTTCAGACCTGAGCCCCCCCCAAATCCCTCTCCCACACCCCAACCCCTTGCCCCAGCCCTGAGCACCCCCAAACCCGGCAACCCAGAGCCCCCTCCCCAATCCTGAACCCCTCATTCCCGGCCCCACCCAGCAGCCCGCACCCCAGCCCTGAGCCCCTCCCACACCCCAAACCCCTCATCCCCAGCTCCATTGGGTCATGGGCATTAACGATTTTCTTCAACTGGGTCCCCAGGAAAAAAAGCTTGAAAACCACTGCCCTAGAGCAGATCTTTTAGAAAAACATCCAGTCTTGATTTTAAAATTGCCAGTGATGGAGAAGTCACCACAACCCATGGTAAATTATTCCAGTGATTAATTACCATCCCTGTTAAAAATCTATGCCTCATTTCCTGTCTGAATTTGTCTAGCTTCAACTTCCAACCATTGGGTAGCGTTATATCCTTCTCTGCAGATTGAAGAGCTCATTATTAAATGGCACTTACAGACTAATCAAGCCACCCCTTAACCTTCTCTTTGTTAAGCTAAATAGATTGAGCTCCTAGAGTCTATCACTATAAAGCATGTTTTCTAATCCTTCAGTCATTCTCATGGCTCTTCTCTGAACCCTTTCCAACTTATCAATATCCTTCTTGAATTGGACACAGTATTCCACCAATGCCAAATAGAGAGGTAAAATAACCTCTCTATTCCTACTCAAGATTCCGCTATTCATGCATCCAAGGATCGCATACCCTCTTTGGCTGTAGCATCATATTGGGAACTCATGTTCAGTTGATTATCCACTATGACTCCTAGATCTTTCTCAGGGTCACTGCTTCTCAGGATAGAGTGCCCCATCCTGTAAGTATGGCCTGTATGCTTTGTTCCTGGGCGTATATATTTACATATAACCGTATTAAAATGCATAATGTTTGCTTGAGCCCAGTTTACCAAACAATCCAGATCACTCTGTCTCAGGGACCGGTACTTTTCATTATTTTCCACTCCCCCAATTTTTGTGTCATCTGCAAACTTTAGAAGTAGCAATTTTATGTTCTCTTCTGTCATTGATTAAAACGTTAAATAGTGTGGGGCAAGAACCAATCCCTGTGGACCAAACTAGAAACACAC